ACAACGCTGCTCAGAGTGGCTAGGGCATTCTAGTCAACGCCTGAAGAAAGAAAAAACAACGACAGTTTATAGTTTCTGTGTCTTTTTTTAAGTGTAAATTATATTGTATTATTTTCGAATTAGGAAATCATATATATATTTATTTATTTATATTATGAATTTATATTAATTTTTATATTTTATTACTTATTACATATTATATTTTTTCAAACATTGAATAAAATAATAATTTACTGTAAGCTCTAAATTTTACTCTCCATATCCATATCCCTAAATGGTAACTAGATTTTCTGAAATGCCTATTCATATCGCATAGATCATGTTAATAAAATATACTGAGAGTCATATGTTTACGATGTTGCGATATATACGTAACGTCTCTGTCCATTTAATACGTTATATTGGCGTTTAAAATAAAACGTAACAGATACATCAAAATGTAGAGAATCTAGCGACATACTAACACAACGTTATGATGATGTACCAGCGAGCACGTCTCTAGTCTGAAACAGTGTGGATGTCACCAGTATGTTACAAGCATGGGTCACTGTTGATTACATTACATAGCACAGGGAAAGCAAATGTACGCAGTTTGGGATGTAACAGCTAACAAGATCGTAGACAGAGTTAAGTGGCATTAACATCGTTACGACGTAACTGTGTTTACTGGGTTGTATGAATTTATCAACCGTTTTAAACAGAAAATTAGCATTTTACAAGAACCAATTTCCTAGTGTGTTCTTTCAAATTCATTTGATGTTAATGAGGTCACAGAAGTAAAAATTGCGGCTCCGAAAATTAATATCCACAACACAGTGCCATTTTAGCATTTATGGTGCGTAATTCAGAAGTACTGTGTATTTGATTTTCGTCAATTGAAGTTCAAAATGTAAATGTGACAAATAAGTACATTGTTAAAACTATAGATACAGTCATGAACAGAAACTGACAAATTTTAAATTTACATTAATTTTACACTGATGTTCAATTTAGTCAACTTTATCATGCAGAAGTACATCAGTATATGTGATTTACGTCAACTAACAGTTCAGAATGTAAATTTGGCATGTATATCGTATAAAAATTGTGTATACAGTTTGGCGTCATGAATCGAAATTCGCAAATTTTCAATGTATGTTATCATTTAATAAAAATTTTAAAGTATTGATAAATTTAGTAAAATTCATAATTCAGAAGTGACAGTTCAAAATGTAAATTTGATAAATGTATTCTCAAAATTGTAGATACAGTTTGGCATCATGAATTGAAAATGCCAAATCTTCAATACAGGTTATGTGTGCAAAATAAATTTAAAAATACTAGAGGAGTATCAATTTTTTTCAAATTCGTGATTTGGAAGTAATGTGTATGTGACTTCCGTCAATTGACAATTAAAAATATAAATATGTCTAATATATTCTGAAAATTGGAGATAGAGGTATTTGGTATTATTTTTGGCGCCATGAATCGTAATTAATAAATATCAAATTAATTTATTACCAATTTCTTTGTTTTTTTTTTGTTTCAATTTTCACAGAATCCTCTCTAAACATTGAGGTTTTAAGGATACCTACTATGAATATCATTATTTTCTTAGTTAGGACTGTGATTCTTTCACACAGGTTTAGCTGAAAAAAATGTTAAAGGATTAAAATATTTAGGTAAATCATCAAAGCGAAAATTTGAATGTTTACATAATCATCTCAAAATGCATAAGCTACAGTTTGCCTTCATGGATCGAAACTGCCAAATTTTTAATTTGTTCTAATATTTTAAAAAAATAATTAGAAGGACTGATAATTTTGTTAAATCTGGGATTTGGAGGTACCTACATATTATACAACTGCCTTTTTTAACGATGGCCTTAGGGATTTACGTGCTAAAAACTTTGGTTTATGTTAATTAGTTTTCTAGTAAAATTTGGCAGAATCTTAGACAAGTAATTTATAAATCAGCTTAGTACATTTCATTACATACAGCAAAATAATTACGAAATTTCAGCAAAAATGAATGCATTAAATTCGCCACAAATTCACGAAGTAGTTTCTTCACGTATGTAACTAAACTAATTAATGTTCTTTTTTTGTTATAATTCTGTAATTATTTTGTTCTGTACACTAAAATGAACTGAAGTCGATTTATAAAATACTAGTTCAACATTCAGCAAAATTTCACTTGAAAATTACGGCTACAAAACTTACTTAACACGACCCACAATTTTTTTTAATACAAATCACTGTAGTCTGCTTTAAAAAAGGCACTGTACATGTGATTTCAACAAACTGACTACTTACTGAAAATTTTGCGCAAATATCAGATATTCCTAAAATTGTAAAGACAGTTGTTGGGCATCACGTATCGAAACGAAGAGTACGAATCTTTTCATTTAACTGATTTATTTTTTTGTAAAAATTGAGCCTACCAATTGAGAAACCAGTGATATTTTATAATTTTGCCGGATCGTGCCAAATTGTTAAAAATTTAACTTCATCTTTTAAATATCTACTTATAATTGTTTTTTCCATTTTTTACTCACAATTCGTTTTTAAAGCCAACCTAATGATTCTCTATTAAGAATTATACCTAATAGATGAATTGATAATACTGCAAGGTTGTAGTTGATTTCAATTTCGCTCGTTTTTATGACGCATGCACTATGCAATAATATGCATTTCTCTGTCTAAATTCCGCTGTTTTGTGTCGCAATAACACCTTCGTTTCCCGCGTAAAATATTATTTGGACTACAATACGGTGGCTAAGTTCGTGGTCCATTATTGGGTTTATACTCTGTTTATAGTGTGCTGTTTAATTAATTTGTTACAAGATTGTGTGATTCGTGACGGCATCGGCAGTTTCTTCAAGTAAGTTGATTTCATTTAGTGTCGGTACTGATAGAGAATTTACGATATCCTAACCAAAACAAAACAAAAGCCGCCTAATTTTGCTTTTGCAGTAAAATCACAGGTCGTTCACAAGTACATATATGGCAATTTTGATTAAATGAAACTCTTGTCCTTAAAATACTTTTTTCTGCTTTATTTCTTATTCTGCTCATCCGGTATCCAGTGGCGTGGTTAATTTCAGAACGCATTAATTTTTATATATTTTTTAATTAGTAATTTTTTAACGGTTCACTGTACTAATGCTTCGTGATATGTTATCTTACGTAAATATACAGGGTGATTTTTTTGAACCTGAAACTTTCAAATATCTAGAAAAATAAACACTCCAAAAAAATGTCCATAATCAAAATTTAATTATGCCCCGGGGGAAATACATTAGTGGTAAATTTAGCCCCCCGCTTCCTCTCCTTATAGGTGGGGGAGGGGTTTCGAAACTTTAAACAGGGACTGCTGTTTGTTATTGCAGATTCGGAGTCTACGGCAAAAAATACATATGATTTGTTTGAAAAATTTTTTTTTCGATTCGTGGTAGATGGCGCTGAATCGACGAAATTCAAACTTTCTTGATTTCTCCCACTGAGAACCTATGCATACGATTTTGCAATACATTGGCACTAAAAAATACAACATTTTATGGAAATACTCGAAATTCGTCTTCAAAAAAGTTGTACCTTTACCCGTAGATTTCGATTCTGTAATAAAAACTGGTAGTTCCTATTTAACATTTTTTTGTAGAGTACTTATTTTCCGAAATATTTGAAACTTTCAGGTTAAAAAATTACTCTGTATAGTAAACGTCTTCTTATTAGTACGGTATTTTAAGATTTATTTGTGAATGTATGGTACTTCATAAAAAGTCTAAATCTATTTAATAACCTTTCCAAATAGATCATTTAAATATTTGTCCAGTTTGATTACATTTTAAATGTATTGTTGAAAATGAATGTTTATTAATAATTTTAATTCTCCTTTTTAGCCGTGGTATTATGTGTATAAGGTTTGCCCTTATTCGTTACTCCAATGGGGTATTCGATGTATGCGACGAAAAAATTATTAAGAAAAACCAGAGAAGAATAGAGAGAGGATCAAGTAAAGCATTTTACAATGTTAAGGTTATATGTATTGATGGTAAGTATGAAAATCGAATTTACGTAACCACCTATAGTTAAAAATTTAAATTAAAGTAACGTTTCTATCTTTGACTTTCAAGCAATAATACTTAATTTATTCAACTGGTCTAGTGCAATGATTGCAGGGTTATAAAAGTTACCTAGTGTTAAGTCTTATATTCTTGATGCATTACATCCGTATCCTGATATATATAAATAGGGCTGTATTTTCATAAGTGACAGTGGTTGTGAGCTTCGATCCCGAGTAGGTAAAAAGGCAAGGACGTATTATTTCAAATTGAGTAAAATTTCAAGCAGAAAAATTTTCATGATAACGAAATGACTTTATTAATTATAAACACGTCGCTACATGTTTAAATAAAAATTAATTAAACATAAAATTATTATAACAACGCCCAGTATAATTTCATTATATATTATTATTACTTGTGCTTATAAACTTGCAAAAATAAAAATCTGCACAAATGAATATTTTTTTAACTGTTGCTGTCAGAACTATTTACAGAATTACTGTCACTTATTTCGCTGTCAGAATCGCTGCTTCCGGTATTTGTAGTGATAATAACATTTTATTGTTGTTTTTTTTAATGGATTTCTCCACCTTTTAAACGTGCAGCATACACACCTGAGGTGTTTCATAACGAGAAGGGAAAACCGCTTCGTACAATTTTAAATTTAATGTGAAATTTTAGATATATGATCCATCTAACCCTTTGAGAGTACGGAATGCCTAGCTGCTGCTGATATCCGCACAACAATAATAACAGCATGCTTGATAACGACTATTGAATATAATTTTGAACAAATCTTTATTTTTTAAATATCCAGAGATTGAAACACTCTTAAATCTGAACCCTCTCTGTGGGCCAATTTTTAAAATTACCCAGAACAGATGTGACAAGTATCCACAGAAGCCGACCACATTTACGGGGTTGTTAGAAATCATAAAATATTATTTGGTTACAAATGAAATGCACCAAGTACATATATCTTTATAAGGACAAAGTAAATATAATTTTTGTTTTTTTTTATCTTTCAGGAAACTTTGAAGCCTTAGAAGACTTGAAACAACAACTAAATAAAGAAAAAAAACTACTAATTGGTAAGAACGAAATAATTTTATTTCTCCAGCCTGAACTAGTGAAGTAATGAAATAGGGTCCATTTGACAAATGACTGCTTTTATGTTTTCTCGACGTTTCATGACCTCTGAGGCATAAAAAAGGTCCCACGTTTCCGTCTGTCTGTCGTCTTCGTCGATTTTTATTAGACTCGTCGAGCCATATTATAGGTACACGTTGAAATTATTTTTCGCATTTTTGACTTTATTTTTGAATCCACATGCTTGCCACGTAGACATAGCGTAATCGTATTAGGTATTTAATGTATAATGTGGGTGTGTAATTTTAAAAATATGCAATTTTTAGAAATAATGTGTCTTTATGTAAAAATTACTCTTTTAATTTAAGTAGGGCATGCTGATATTTCAAGCAATAGAACAAATAATGTGGAATATCTATCTAGCACACAGGCTCAAAGTGGATTACATTCACTTTTTTTAAACAGGTTATCATCACTTTTAAACAAAAGCGATGTTTGACTGAAAACATTTCATTAGTTAATGAAAGTGGCAACACAGAATTATTTATAAAAATTAGTATAAAAAAAACACTAACAAATTTTCTTTTGAAAAGTAGTACATACTAATGTTTTGTGCTCAATTTTGCTTATTAAAAATATTTGTACCCCTAATTCTAACACTTCAACGATCTTAGTGTATAATATGTTTAATTGTGTGCGCAGTCATTTGGAATGGAGATAATCTTCGCGTTGTAAAAATTATTCTTTACTATTTCATTCTCTGTGATTCCAAATAAAATAAAGCCCTTTACCAACGGTCGAAGATTATTTTGCCACAACTTCACTCGCCCGTGAAGTACTGTCGAACAAATACGGCTTCTTCAAAATTTAATTTGCAAATTTTATTTCTTTATGATAACCGCTATAAATTAAATCTAAAATATGTGTGAACTGTTACAGTACAGGTAAAGGAGCATATTGTGCGTGTGTTTTAAGTGAGTTTGTCCATCACAAAATGTTTGTGATAACGTCATCAACGTTTTAGGAAACATACGTATATCAATTTGAATAGGTGCAATCTAATATTAATAATAACGGTGCTGTATACTCAAATTTTCGAGAACATAAAGTGAGTCGTTCTTACTGTGATCAATAAAATAAATTCCCTCATTTATAAATTTTTTTAAGCCAGCGTTTATAAGTAATTCTAAAAGCTATTAATGCATTGCTAAATCACAAAAATAGAGGCATAGGATATTGCGCATTTTAGATAAGATTTATTTGACAAAATTTTGAAATGTCATCAATTTTTTGGGAGGGGGTAAATGGATAAGTTTAATATTGATTACCGATTTATATTGCTTCCGATAAACGTAATACGTTTGTAACATTTTAGATCGTACGGTTTTGCAGTTTCAAAGTTCAATTACAAAATGTTTTAAGATTTTGTTTTTTTTTTCAAAAAACGTGATGTCTAAGGTAAAAACTCAACAGTAATCCATAAACCACAAGTGGAGGAGTATGTTATTTTATAAATTTTAAAGATGACGTAATCCTATTGTTGGTGGAGATGATTAGACAAATTTTGGTTAGCGCTGTACCCTCTACATCATAAATTAACTATGTGCTAAGAATATTATGTTAAACGTGATATTTTTAACAAACATACAAAATTTGACAACAATCGGTCTAGTAGTTTCGGACATTTTCTATCTCATAAAACTCTTCATAGAAGACAGACAGGCAGACGGAAACGTGGACCACTCGTACTCAGGTGTCATGAAACGTCGAGAAAAGTTCAAAGTAACAAGTCGATCAATGGAGGCAATTAATGCACTAAATAATACAATGTAAAATATGTTTGTCATTATTGTTTTATTTCAGTATCCGAACGTCTAGCAACAAAAAATTATGGAACAAACTCACGCTATTCGTGCAAGCAGAAGTTTTGCATTTTTTGCAAAACTCTCAAAACTAATTTAGCACGTCATTTTGAAATTTGTCACTCAGAAGAGGCAGAAGTAAGAAAATTCTTAAGTTTCAATAAAGGTTAGTTATCAAGTTAGTTGGAATGTGTAATTAAGTAAGTTTAAATTGCAGGTAGTCCTGAACGTTGCGAAATTATAGCAAATCTACGAAAAAGTGGCAATTATAATTACAACAAGAGCAATAAAGAGAATCCCATTCTTATCAGACGAGTGCAAAAAGGTTCACTAGACTCTTTACCATGCCCTAATTGCAAAGGGTTTTATTCACAGATAACACTATCTCGTCATTATGCCTACTGCTGCAAAGATCTGAAAGATAAAAATGCTAGTAGATCTGTTTTAAGAGCTGCTCGTGCCATGGTTAGTAAAATTCATCCGGCGGCATGTTTGCAACTAAAAGAGAAAATTTTGCCGCCAATGAAACAGAATATAATATTGGATACTGTCAAAAAAGATATGCTGTTAATTTTGATTGGCAATTATTTAGTCCCCAAATATAGAGAACACCAGGAGTATATGATACGGAACAAATTGAGGTTTCTAGCGACATATTTTTTAACTGTGAAAAAAATTGATAATAGCATTGACGAATTTCATAAGTTGTTCTACCCTCAACATTTTGATTTGGCACTTGAAGCAGTAAAACAGATGGGAGAAATTGATAATAATTCATCAGTGTACAGTAAATCAACATCCGCATTGACCATAACACATTATCTAAAAATTTGTTGTAATATTTTGCAAAGTCATTATATTCGAGGAGGAGACGATGGAAACGAAAAAGCTGTTAAAAGATTTTTTAAACTCCTGAAAACAGAAGTTCCTGGTAAAATAAATAAACCAGCCCATAGAGATCTGTGTGAAATGAAAAGAAAAAAAATGATGACGAAAAGAAGTATCATTCCAACGACAAAAAATGTTGAAAATTTTAAAATTTACATTTTAAAAAATGCAGCAAAAACTTACAAGACTCATGACTGAAGAATTTTCTTTTACACACTGGAAGACTTTAGCGGAACTCACACTGATGTGTATCAGTGTTTATAATAGAAAACGAGCTGGTGAAGCCCAAAGAATACTTGTGGAGGATTTTCGAAATATACAGACTTTGCGTGATACAGTACTCCCAGAACTGCTCAACAATTTAGGTGACAATAGAATAAAGAAGTTGATTGCACATACAAATTAATGATCAGAGGAAAACTTCACAGAACGGTGGCAGTTATAATTCCCCATTATATAAAGAAATATTTAACATTTATTAATGACTATAGAAGTCAGGCTGGAGTATCGGACGATAACCCTTATATCTTTGGCTTGCCGGGGAAAATGGTAGGACAGCGATACAGAACTTTAGAAACGTGTCGAATAATTAGAAAGTATACAGCTATGGCAAAATTACAAAATCCATGTTCTATAAGAACAACCCTTCTACGAAAACAGTTTGCAACAAAGACCTCAACAATGAACCTTCAGGATCATCAAAAAGAAACCGTCGTTAATTTTATGGGTCATCAACGAAATATACACGACGAGTATTACAGGCAGCAGATAGTTGTAGGTGATTTAATGATAAAGAAAATCTTAGATCAAGAAAGCCAAATGACCATGGACGAAATTTGTGAAAGAAATGAAGACAAAACTATTGATCCAGGTATTTTTGGAAAAGAAATAGGCATTTTGTTATAACACTTATGTTTTTTTTTTTTTTTAGATATAGAACGACCTCTTGTCACAAATTGTTCTGTTAGGACTTGCACTGAAGGTAATCACTTAATACTAAATTCACAAAATATTGCTAAGTTTTTTAATAAAGAACTTAGGAGAGAACTTTTTAATTCCTGAGCATACTCACGGTACCGGCATCATATGTCTACCAGTGTCTAATACATACAAAAAAATGTTTAGACAACTATACAAAAATTAGTGATAGACATCTATATAACACTCGGAGTGGTAATGGTATATACCTCATTATCTCAGAATATATAAAAGCCGTAATTCAATTAATTACTACGGCCCTAAATACTTTAACAGCTTACCTTGCAATATCGCAGCACTTCCGGAGCCACAGTTTAGGAACACTGTGAGACAAAAATTGTTAGAATCTCCACTTTACGACCTAAATATGAGATCTATAAGCCAGGTTTTTAATTAATTCTACTGATGTACAATATACTAAGGTGTAATTGTTTTGTATACGATATATGTGTATTTATGTTCTTTTATTTTGACCTTACTTAATGTCTGTGTACATTTTTAAAGTATAATAAATATTATTTTATTATTATTATTAATATTATTACAAGTATAGACTCAATATTTCGACGTTCGCAAGATTTTAGAGAATTTGGTTACAAACAATTTTGTGTTTTTTTTTCTAAAAATTTGGGTTTCTAAGGTTAAAAAACAATGCGGATCCAGAAAGTATACATTTAGGAGTATGTTACTTTATAAAATTTGAATAACACCTACTATACACAGTTTTAAGGGTGACCTCATCACATTGTTGGTGGCGATAATTAGATTGGTTGGCATTCCAGCATGTTTCGGAGATCATCTGTTATAATAAAAGTCGATACAGTCATGAAACGTTGAGAACACATTAAAGTAGCCATTCGCCCCATGACATGAATGATTGCGATGATTGACAAATTTTAAATTATATATTTTTAGTTGGGAATTTAACTCCTCCGCCAAGTACCAGTCAGGAACCAGTTTTTACGACTCCAAAAAGTAAAATAAAAGTTGTTAGAAAATTTAATTATTGTAAGTATTAGTTTCATACTAAATTGAAAAGTCTTTTCTGCAGACACTTAACGAATATTGGCACCAGAAAGCGTTATGTAACAATTTTTATAACATTATAAACTTTATAATTTAACGTTTCATACGAATATATGTATTTAAACCTTTTAAAAACATTATGATGGTTCAGAAAATATTAAACAATTGATTTTACCAGGATTTTAGTTATTCCGTAAAAGGACATTGACAACATATATTCCGTAATAAATCCGATTCACTTGTAGAAATTAACTTTTAAAATTTTAGTTTCTGTATTCCTAACAGATTGCAATAATTATTCACGTAATTTTTTAAGAAAAAAAATTTGTTAAATCATAGTTCCGCTAGTTTAGGCTAATAAGACTAATAAGCTGCCTATATTTTGAATCTTAACATTTTAGCTCCATCATCCGAACCATACAGCGGTGGAAGTAGTGATGAGTGGGACCCCGGAAATGTTTCCCACATTCAAAAAACCCTTGGTCCAAGTAAGTATACAGTAATACTTATATCCTAAAAATCAGAAACTTTAATTTCTAGTGACTACAAAACGCCGTGTGTGGTTGACACCAAAAAAGTCGACAGCAAAAGTTCTGTTTAAAAACTGCATAGAAAAATTAACAGTACCTAGTCTGGCAGAATGTTCAGAAGCTATTGCTCACTCAAAAACTCTGCAAACCCGAACGGCGCAGCAAGTAAGGCAGTGGGTGCAACACTATATTAAAACCAATTACTTGAAATGTAGGTCTAATGATTTTATTTATTAAAACATTTCAAATCTGAGGAAAAAATTCTAGGTGATACTGCAAAAATTCGACGTCCCTGGAGTACACCAGAAAAGCAGCTTGTTCGTAAAGCTTTTGGCACCTACATTGCGGAAAAATTGTATCCATCAGGATTTGAAATAAGCGAATTAATTAAAAAACATCCCATCCTCAGAAGGCGCTCCACAGCTTCTATAAAAAGTTTTCTGCAACATGAAAGATCAAAAATGTAATCATTGTGTTTGCTTTTATATGTACCCGTAATAAATAATTATAAATAAAGATAATAACCTAATTCAAATTCTGTTTTATGTTTTATTAGAAATAAAGTGAAAATAATGTCTTTAATTTGAAACTAAATTTTCTTAAAGTGCTATATTAGAATGCTGTACCACGAAGTACATACATAAATGAATTTAATCCCATTTCCCCCTAAGTTAGGCACCCAGTAAAACACGATCATAGCGAATTTCCGGTGCATACAGTTTGGCTTCACGTAAGAGTGCACATAATACTTGAGGTCAAACTGTTTGTTAGACATACATATATGTATGCACGGTATGTTGTTACCTCCGAAGTATATACTAATAGTACGTTGTCACCTCATCTACAACGTTCTGACCTCCGGTTTCGGAGGTAGAAACGTTTTGCCTTGTAAATAATTTATTAATCATCCAGGGGGCGCTAGGAGCTTGATTTTCAATTTTCGTCTGGAGGTCATAACGTGCATCCCATAGTCGCAACTTTTTATTTTAGTTTAGCTGTAGACCGTTGGCGCTGGCGTCGCTTACCTTTATACACTGCTAGTATGTTGTTACCTCCGGCATATAAACTGTACGTTCTGACCTCTGAAACTTGGCAACGTCGCCGTCATACATATATCCAACGCATGGTAGAAGGAAACATGGTATACGCATACGTATCGACTGTTACGTCCAATGGCATCAAATTAGCGGCAAATTTAAAATACATTAATTTGCAATCACCCCGAAGGCTAGACAACGTGTTGGAAAACTGTAGCCGGCAGTTTCGATCTTGTTTGATATCATCAGTACAGCACATTCCATCGAGTTGTCTAGCATTCATTGTGCTTAAGATTTTAAACTTGCTAATTTCACACCACTTTTTTTGTTAATCTTTATGCTCCTTGCCTAATAATTGGAGTTTTCACTCTGTTGAGGCATTGTATCAGTAATAATAAGATTAGCAACCAGCTAAACAGCTTTAAATTGAAAATTTTATTTGTGATTATACAGTTATTGCAGTCGTATGTAATATGGGATCGCAAAATTTAGGTTTTTGTGTAACCACTAACCAACATTAGTGTAGAGTGCACATGTTTCTCCAAAATGTTGACCAGTACCAATTTACTGTTACTTTATTTGTCGAAATTACTGTTGGTTCTGAAAAGAGCCGATTTGATGCTTATCGCTGTGCCGCGCTAGGGTCTATCTGAGCCGTACTGCTCCCTTTTGTAGAATATATACCACCCAAAATGTGCAAATGTGTTCTTATTTGTAATCCATCATTGCACTCACATTTTTTAGATTTTCTAAAGCAGGGGACTCAAAAAATTAATGAATGGGTCAATTTATTTTGTTGATTAAATTAGGAACGCCTCACTCCATTTTCCCAGAAAATTTTGGGAATACAATACTGTTATTTTTAGTATTATACTGCATCAATCCAAGTTGATATACGTGTATTTGCAAAAATGTTGATGACGTCATCACAAAACGTTGCTTTTAGCAATAGTAGTAACTTAAATTCGAATTTGAAGACGATTTTGAGACGATTCAAACACCATTTGTGATAGAATGTTTAATGAAACACAGGTTTAACACATAGGACTTTTATAAACAACTAATGACGTAAGTCAAAGAATTCGAGGATACCGAAATTTTAAATACAATAATCAGGGCTAATTGAGGAAATCGAGCTTGGAATGTCCTACATAAAAAAAGAAGAAGAAAAAAGAAGGGCTCGGACTGTGTCCAGAATGGAGGGCCAGATCTCGAAAATCTTGTGTTGTTACTATAAACTAGCATCAAATCGGCTCTTTTCAGAACCAACAGTAATTTCGACAAATAAAGTAACAGTAAATTGGTACTGGTCAACATTTTGGAGAAACATGTGCACTCTACACTAATGTTGGTTAGTGGTTACACAAAAACCTAAATTTTGCGATCCCATATTACATACGACTGCAATAACTGTATAATCACAAATAAAATTTTCAATTTAAAGCTGTTTAGCTGGTTGCTAATCTTATTATTACTGATACAATGCCTCAACAGAGTGAAAACTCCAATTATTAGGCAAGGAGCATAAAGATTAACAAAAAAAGTGGTGTGAAATTAGCAAGTTTAAAATCTTAAGCACAATGAATGCTAGACAACTCGATGGAATGTGCTGTACTGATGATATCAAACAAGATCGAAACTGCCGGCTACAGTTTTCCAACACGTTGTCTAGACTTCGGGGTGATTGCAAATTAATGTATTTTAAATTTGCCGCTAATTTGATGCCATTGGACGTAACAGTCGATACGTATGCGTATACCATGTTTCCTTCTACCATGCGTTGGATATATGTATGACGGCGACGTTGCCAAGTTTCAGAGGTCAGAACGTACAGTTTATATGCCGGAGGTAACAACATACTAGCAGTGTATAAAGGTAAGCGACGCCAGCGCCAACGGTCTACAGCTAAACTAAAATAAAAAGTTGCGACTATGGGATGCACGTTATGACCTCCAGACGAAAATTGAAAATCAAGCTCCTAGCGCCCCCTGGATGATTAATAAATTATTTACAAGGCAAAACGTTTCTACCTCCGAAACCGGAGGTCAGAACGTTGTAGATGAGGTGACAACGTACTATTAGTATATACTTCGGAGGTAACAACATACCGTGCATACATATATGTATGTCTAACAAACAGTTTGACCTCAAGTATTATGTGCACTCTTACGTGAAGCCAAACTGTATGCACCGGAAATTCGCTATGATCGTGTTTTACTGGGTGCCTAACTTAGGGGGAAATGGGATTAAATTCATTTATGTATGTACTTCGTGGTACAGCATTCTAATATAGCACTTTAAGAAAATTTAGTTTCAAATTAAAGACATTATTTTCACTTTATTTCTAATAAAACATAAAACAGAATTTGAATTAGGTTATTATCTTTATTTATAATTATTTATTACGGGTACATATAAAAGCAAACACAATGATTACATTTTTGATCTTTCATGTTGCAGAAAACTTTTTATAGAAGCTGTGGAGCGCCTTCTGAGGATGGGATGTTTTTTAATTAATTCGCTTATTTCAAATCCTGATGGATACAATTTTTCCGCAATGTAGGTGCCAAAAGCTTTACGAACAAGCTGCTTTTCTGGTGTACTCCAGGGACGTCGAATTTTTGCAGTATCACCTAGAATTTTTTCCTCAGATTTGAAATGTTTTAATAAATAAAATCATTAGACCTACATTTCAAGTAATTGGTTTTAATATAGTGTTGCACCCACTGCCTTACTTGCTGCGCCGTTCGGGTTTGCAGAGTTTTTGAGTGAGCAATAGCTTCTGAACATTCTGCCAGACTAGGTACTGTTAATTTTTCTATGCAGTTTTTAAACAGAACTTTTGCTGTCGACTTTTTTGGTGTCAACCACACACGGCGTTTTGTAGTCACTAGAAATTAAAGTTTCTGATTTTTAGGATATAAGTATTACTGTATACTTACTTGGACCAAGGGTTTTTTGAATGTGGGAAACATTTCCGGGGTCCCACTCATCACTACTTCCACCGCTGTATGGTTCGGATGATGGAGCTAAAATGTTAAGATTCAAAATATAGGCAGCTTATTAGTCTTATTAGCCTAAACTAGCGGAACTATGATTTAACAAATTTTTTTCTTAAAAAATTACGTGAATAATTATTGCAATCTGTTAGGAATACAGAAACTAAAATTTTAAAAGTTAATTTCTACAAGTGAATCGGATTTATTACGGAATATATGTTGTCAATGTCCTTTTACGGAATAACTAAAATCCTGGTAAAATCAATTGTTTAATATTTTCTGAACCATCATAATGTTTTTAAAAGGTTTAAATACATATATTCGTATGAAACGTTAAATTATAAAGTTTATAATGTTATAAAAATTGTTACATAACGCTTTCTGGTGCCAATATTCGTTAAGTGTCTGCAGAAAAGACTTTTCAATTTAGTATGAAACTAATACTTACAATAATTAAATTTTCTAACAACTTTTATTTTACTTTTTGGAGTCGTAAAAACTGGTTCCTGACTGGTACTTGGCGGAGGAGTTAAATTCCCAACTAAAAATATATAATTTAAAATTTGTCAATCATCGCAATCATTCATGTCATGGGGCGAATGGCTACTTTAATGTGTTCTCAACGTTTCATGACTGTATCGACTTTTATTATAACAGATGATCTCCGAAACATGCTGGAATGCCAACCAATCTAATTATCGCCACCAACAATGTGATGAGGTCACCCTTAAAACTGTGTATAGTAGGTGTTATTCAAATTTTATAAAGTAACATACTCCTAAATGTATACTTTCTGGATCCGCATTGTTTTTTAACCTTAGAAACCCAAATTTTTAGAAAAAAAAAAACACAAAATTGTTTGTAACCAAATTCTCTAAAATCTTGCGAACGTCGAAATATTGAGTCTATACTTGTAATAATATTAATAATAATAATAAAATAATATTTATTATACTTTAAAAATGTACACAGACATTAAGTAAGGTCAAAATAAAAGAACATAAATACACATATATCGTATACAAAACAATTACACCTTAGTATATTGTACATCAGTAGAATTAATTAAAAACCTGGCTTATAGATCTCATATTTAGGTCGTAAAGTGGAGATTCTAACAATTTTTGTCTCACAGTGTTCCTAAACTGTGGCTCCGGAAGTGCTGCGATATTGCAAGGTAAGCTGTTAAAGTATTTAGGGCCGTAGTAATTAATTGAATTACGGCTTTTATATATTCTGAGATAATGAGGTATATACCATTACCACTCCGAGTGTTATATAGATGTCTATCACTAATTTTTGTATAGTTGTCTAAACATTTTTTTGTATGTATTAGACACTGGTAGACATATGATGCCGGTACCGTGAGTATGTTTAGTTCAGGAAAAAAATGTCTCACATCCGCTTGATAGTTCAAGTTCAGTATTATTCTGACCGCTTTTCTTTGTAACTTAAATATTCTACAAAGATGCGCT